AAAACTCCTAACATTGAGCCCTAAATGGTTATCTTTGGGTATTTTACTGAAACCAGGACACCCCAAAAAGGCTACCCCCTCCAAAAACTGCCCTGTTAAGGAGAGTCCAAGTAATAGGACAATAGTTTTACAAAGCCAGAAAAGGCCACAAAAAGAGGGGTGGTGTCATATGTTCTTCATTTAGAAATATCACAAGAACATTACTTCTCACAGTATTTACAAATGCAAAACACATGGCTGTAACCTGTAATACTGCAAGAAATACTGCTCTTTTGGTTGGGTTTGTGGCCTCAGACTTTTGAAATATGAACCAAGCAAGGGAATTTCAGCCTAATGCTCTATTCAGCCCATTACTCTACAGACCCCAAACTTTTGGGGGAGAGGGAAAACCTGCATTTGGAAAAGGCAACTTGCCTACAAATACAGTAATTTGCTGTATTTGGCAAACAAAGCCTCGTGCATTTCCAAGGGGATGGAAGGTGAAGTTAGTTAACTAAAGACTTTTGCCCTCCATTCAATTAAAAAAAAAAAATACTAAACTGGCTTTGCTTCCCATAAAGAGTTTTATAAGTCATATATAAAGCTTCCTGCATTTACTATTTGGGTTCAATCAATATGGTTATCTACCTGTCAATTTTTCTTGCTCTTTAATGCAGAAAGAGAGCAGCCTTTTTTATAGCTAGCTCAGAAAGTACTAAGCTAATCAATACATGCAGCGATAACAGGATGATTTGAAACACATATAACAAAAGCTTATCACTTTGCTCTATAGTGAACCCGTCAAAATATTTTCCTAGAAGTAATGTGAAAATAGAAGTTCTCCATCTTTCATTACTTAAGTGGGTGGTGACATGGGTGTTACAGGCCTTTTGGATGTGTTCATAGCTCTGCATTTTCAGGAGAAATTCAGTATCTGACTGTTTTCTCCTTTGCAGGAACATTAGGTCAGCCATTGAGCAGTTCCAGAGAACTCTTGTCTTATAAGTAAAAATTATCTTCATTGCCCTTGATTTATTTGGTCCTAAACAATTATTGGAAACTCGTGCATTGTTCTCTACCAGCACACATTACATTTTTCAGGAACTTAACTGGAATCTGCTCTGATGTTTCTGTAAACCGGAAACCCCTTGCTTTAGTCAAGGCATTTAATAATTTCTGTTCAAGCTCAAACTGAAAGGCATGGACTCTCTTTCAGCTGCCTCCTGCTAAGTTAGACAATATGATATAATTTGCAAGCACCTGATTCCTAAAGGTTTAAATAGACATAGGAATATTAAGATTTGGGATTTGAACACAGCAGAGAGAGGATCAGCTGTTGCAGTGGTCTCTAACCCCTACATTTTCAAAGAAATGCCTAGGATTTAGCCACATAATTCTCATTTAGAGTTAAGATACCACCACGTACCATCATACCACTTAAGTAGGTGGAACTCTCTATGCAGTAAAAATGCTCTGTATGGCAGCCCAGGCTCGTCACCGGTTACCGAATGTTACATGCCAGCTCAAAAATTAACAGATGTATATAAGCATGGAAAGAAAGAGATCAGAACTGCAATGAAAGACCTGGTAAAAAAAAATGCTGGTGCCGTGAAGCTTATTACTGATTTTATGCTTCGACTAACCATCGGTCCTATCAACTCTCTACCACAAGTATCACAATATTTGATGACTTTTCTGCAAGGCTAATACTTGGAGTCATATGACGACCTCTAAAACTCAGATTACATGAAAAACGATGCTCAACAAGAGGCAAATTAAAACCTACATTAATTGGATTTTTTAATAATAGCCTTATTTGTAAGGCAATCTCAGGATTTTGGGGGGCCTGACTCATAACTTCGGGATGGTTAGGGTTGGCAAGACTATTTGCTGTAGGTAGCGTGCAGTTCAAAATACTGACACACTAAGGTTCTTTACCTTAACAGTTGGAAAATCCCGGATGTAATAAAAAACTAAGACGTTGGGTCTATGCTCCCAGAGGCGGGGTGGGAAAAAAGAGAACCTAAAGGATCCATCAATTGTAAGTAGATCCCCAAATGATATGGCAGATGCACAGTGGACTTCAGCAATGAGCAAACAACTTCTTTGCTAATGTTACTGGAGTTGAGTACGTCTTGGGTGCATCTGAGGGCAGAACGGGACTCGGTGGCTATGAACGGACCCTAGAGCAACACCCCAGGTGATACGAAACGTGTTATAAAATTGATCGCTTCCTCACGCGTGGCAGAATTTCTCCAATGTGCTCCACTCCCTATTAAGCTATGATAAACTGAGCCGTGTTTCCAACGTGGTCCCTGCCCAACCCTTTAAATCGAGGATTTCACTACAGAGTTGTGGGCAGCAAACACCTGGTTGAATCAAAACCTCCGATCTGCACGCACCAATTCATGCAGCCGGCTCCTGCAACTGCCAGCGTGCCATACCTGCCCATACAAAGCTGTTTGCTTACATCTGATTTTCAGGTGCACAAGGTCGGGAGCACCCGAAAGCTTGGGTGTGCCATCTTGATATGCAAATGGACCAGCTAGTATGAGACGAGCTTGAAAATCCTGCTTCAAGCACGTACGCAAACCACAAAGCCAATGAGAAGTGTCCAAAAATGCAACTCTCCAACCAGTGCGTCGCAGGAGATCAGTCCCACCACCACCTGGAAGGATATTAGAAGGCAACCCTGTGGAGCAAAAGTGAAATTGTTTCAAGCAGATCACTACTGCTGGAGGTGGCTAGGGAAGGTTCATAAATTGATAAGCACCACCAAAGGATCATAAGCCTCCACATCAATTGTATAAAAATTACAACAGAGCCACTCTCTGCAGTCATTCTGAAAAGGTTATGGGTTTCACAGGTGTGCACTGTCAGTTCTGATTAAGCTTAAACTAAACCAGTTATCTATAATGTTGGATTGGAAAGAGTTTTATTGCCAAATGTAAGGTAAATCAAATTCATGATGCACATCTGTGGAAAAACACAGAGGGACAAAGTTTGCCATCCTGACATAAGAAAAACAACCCCTGAAACCCAGAGGAGTTTTGCTTGCATACGGCCCACGGCTTTGAGGCTTGTCAGATGTTCTCAATAGTAGAAAGCCATTCCTTCCTTCAACACGGCTTCATGGCTTCTTTCCATCTGCAACTCATTCTTCGCTTTTATAACACACAGACTATTTTAAGATTATTATCTGCAGTCACTGCTAAAGAGACTCGAGTTTACTATTTATCTCATCATAAATGAAGTTAATTATACACATATACTTTTCACTACACAGGATATAAACCAAAGCAGCTACAGCCACAAATTCACAACATAATTTTTCATCTGGGTAACTACCAGCTTTTCCATTAACCAAAACAAACATATACGGTTCTCATCAGATATATTTCAAGCTGTGCAGAGAGGATTCTGGGTAAAATCCTCCCCCACAGAAATCATTGGTGAATCTCCTATTGGATTCAATAGGGCCAGGATTTTACCCTCCATGTTGAAGGTACAGGGAAAAGGCAGGCAAACTTTACAGCTGATACCAGACTCATGTTCTGCAGCAGAAGAAGTACTTCATATTAAAGCTGCACTTCAAAGCATGTCTATTGACTCATTGTTGTTTTAATAGATGGCAAAAGTGAATAAATGTATTTGCCTTTGCAACATCATTATTTCATTTGCATGCAATTATTTACTTGCCAAACAATACTAGCAACACATCGCAACAGAGTCTGAAGCTATCTACAATCAGCAGATTTTTAACCTAAGGTAAAAATAAACAGAAACATCTGTAAAGTAATCTTGTACAAAGCTACATTTATTAACAAATACATTTTCTAATAAAACACCATCTGCAAGCAACTCTCAGCTTCCACTTGATATAAATAGGCCTTTTACTGTTTTCAGATGCAGTTCCCAGAAAATTATTCCAAGCTCTACTGCAAAACACATCAGTCTTTGTTGCTGCCTGGAATGTTAATAAATAACATCAAGTTTTTAAATAGTCAAACAAATTATTAGCTTGAAACAATTATTCCAATAGAAAAAGCTGACCTTTTGCAATAAAGAGTGTATCATTCCTCATTTCTGGTATTAAAATATTACCAAGCAGGGAAATATCATGGGGGAAACAGAAAGCTATGAAAAACCCATATTGCAACTCTGCTCATACACAGTCTATAAACCTACCTTGCAATGGTTACTGCTTTACAGCAAGTCTGAATAAGAAATACATGATAAAATATAAATGTTTCAGATGGACCCCTTGCGAAACAGCTGTGCAGAAAAGGTTCAGGACACAAATAGCAGCTAACTATAACTTCTAATCACAGGACTGTCGTGCTGACCAGAGACACAAAACTCAACAACTTCAGCTCTTGGTGCCAGGAATTGGAAGTGAATCCCAATGCTAAGTGCTATTGAAAAATCCATAAAGATTTAACGGGATACATTTACACAAGTGTTGCTCAGACCTTAAGCCACATTAACTCCATTAAAGTCAATGGGATTGAGAAACAAACTCTGAAAATGTACCTCTTATCATTGTCCATTCAGAATCACTGGCATTAAGAAGGTCAAGGCATTTTTAGGAGTGGGTTTTTTGGTTGGGGTGTGGGGGGGAGGGGTCTTGGAAAAGCGCATGACGGCACTCAAGTCGGATTAACTTCTACACAGGTAGGCAAAACTTGGAACTACGAGGATGAACAAAGAGATACCAGAATTATGTAGCCAGAAACTGTGCTGGTATTCATGGATTTAAGCCACCTGAGGAGCCAGTCCTTTAATATTAATGGGAATCAACCAATATTAGCATTGCATGGTAGAGTATTAAAGCTTCGCTTAATATAACTTACTAAGGTTGTCACAGAAATCAAAAGGGAATATGTAACTATGCATATTCAAGGAAAGGGGTGTATTTATGGCATTATTCTGAGAAAAGGAATTGCATATTTCAGTAACAAATGCGCAGTATGATAAATACTCATGGGACACCACCAAATAAATTGCTTGAAAGTACTTACTTCACTAGCTTGAGGGAGCTTTGGTAGTTTATTCTTAGAACTGGGTACATTAGCTTTTCCTTCCAACAGCGTTCCAAATGATTGGTTTCCATATCCACTCTCAATTTCTACCGGAGGTTTAAGTTCAGGCGAGTCATTCGGTACTTGGTCCTGACCATCCATAGGTCTCACATATGCTGTGGGCTTTTGTTGGACCATGCTAGTTTTACAGTGCAGTCCTGGTGGGAAATTCTGGGTTGAAAGACCATTGGTTGCAGATAACAAGGATGTAGAAGGAAGTGGAGATCCAGGACCATGTGCTACAAATTCAAGTTCTGTTGGTGACTTTGAATGACTGTTTTCTTTATAAGTGTGTTCACTACTTGTTGACTTTGAATGATTATGCCTCCGTGAATGTGAAGATGAAGCGGCAGGGTTTGCTTCTTCAGCTCCTCCACTTTTATGCTGCTCGCTCTGACAACTGTAGAGGTCTTCATACCGGCTTTGAGGCTGGTCATGTGAAGAGCTATGTTTTGACCTACTCTGTTGGCTACTGGCTTGGCTTGGCTGTGCAGCATTAGAGTTGTGACCACCACGTGACCAGTCTGTCCTGGATTTCCTGCTGCTCTGGTGACCGTGTAGCAAAGCAGAATTGGATGACAGGGATGAAGGAGGTGGCATTGATGTTGACGAGTGACCACTGATCTGGTGAGATGGGATCATCCTGTTTCTTTGTTCTGGAAAAAAGCTCTGTTCATTTTTATCAATGGGAGTCTGTGGTACCGAATTCTTTGGGATTCCTACAAGGTGACTCTGGTTGGAATGGTTGGTTAACAAGTCCTTCATTTCATCATAGTTTCCCAGCGTGTTCTGGACACGGTTTGCAAGGGCATCACCTTTGTTTGTCTAAAATGACAAAAACGTAAGGAAAAGGGTGAGTGAATCCTGTGGCTGTAAAGTTTCTGCTTGGAATAGTTGTCTTGAAAAAGATGGCAAATGTTAGCTGTTTAATGGTGTCATGCTGACATTTAATTTAATTTCAATTACATTTTGCATATGTTATGTAAGAAAAACCCATCAATAACTGTGTTCAGAGAACCTCTTGGAACAGGCTGGCATGAGTAACAGTTGTATACTGCTTCCTGTTTTCTTAAATATGCTCTCAGAGAAAGGTTTAAATAACATCAGTTATGATGCTATAAGCAACATCGCCTGATTTTATCTCTGATACAGTGGGCTTGCACATTTTATATCCTGCAAAATGTGGATGTACAATTACTGGTCAAGCAGTATTTGAATTGCAATCAAGCATTTTATTTAAATATGCTATTTTGATACCATCTCCTTGACCCATAATTCTAATATACCTGGCAGCTGGCCTACAACTTCATTAACTCTAATGGACCAAAATGATCTGTGGTGTAATGTGAATTTCTTCCCCACTGAAGGCTCAGTCGGGCCCTGGGTCCCTAACAGCTGAGACCTAGAAAATGTACATTTCCGACTAGTGAAGTACCATACCACTAAAAGAGCCTTCCAAAGATGTTGCATCAAGAAAGATATAAATACCGATGACTACTGAAGTTTGAAGTACCAGGACGCCTCTGTTGTCTAAGAGTGTGTTGTACATGTCTGTGAATCAGGCAGTTAATAGTGACTGCAGTTTGAAGCAAGCAAACCTGACCGCTATCATTTTTTCCGTTTGAAGTACTTTTTCCGCTGCTATATATAAAAAAACCTATGCAAATAAGCACAAAGGGAATAATTGATATACCGATAATTTTTTTCTCTTTTTGTTTAAAAAAAAAGTCATCTTAGACCACAGCCAACATACCTGTCCTCTTCTGGGCCTTTATGTTACATTGAAATCACCACCACTGCATTAAACAACCTATTCTCTGTATACGTTCATCGCTTTATAACACTCAAGGGGTAAAAACAGCGCTTTCCAAACTATGGTTTCTGTTCAAGCATATGGTAAATTTCTACAATCTGTAAATTCAGTTTGAAGCCACAATATATGTGGCAGGATTGGATCTTTATATTTCATATCTCCCAATGTGTGCTCATACTTTATGTTAAGTCTCCCATTTCTTCAAATGCCAAGAAAAAGCGTGAATGATGAAAGAAACCCTACAAGTGGGTTTCTCTTGGAATATCGGCTTAAATTTCCAATGCTGAACTAGCCTAGAGATGAGAGGAATATTGCAAAAAGTTTCCTCCTCTCGTTTAGTTCTTCTCATGCAGCAGAAACCGTTGGGAAAGAAGATAATCAATGCAAATTTCCTTTTGCTCACTTTCAGGGATTGTAACTTATATTATCACTGCACTGAGGCAGCGATTTAAAAATTAACCATTCATTGTTGTTCTTGTCTGTATAAATTTTTCGCCGGTGCTCCTACACAGACATGGTTAATGGTTACAGTTGTGTGGGACTGTGAATCACTTTTATCCACTAAGTCCCTAGGTTGGTCATTTTAGTGGCAAAAATTACATTCTAGCTAAGCCAAGAATAAGCTCTTTGTACATGAGCAGTCTCCTTCAACTGAGTTGCACAATGAGCCATTTGGGTGGCAGCCAAAACCAGGCTCTCTGTTCAACCCCCAAATTTAAAACAAGGAGATTCCATTGTGCTTAAGGGCACGGCAGGAATTACGATGCGAGCTTTAAACACTTACATACTTGTTCTGTTCCCTCCTTCCCTCCCAAACATTTTAACTCCTTGCACTATAGCACATGCGAAAGGGCCACTTTTCTGACCACGCCGCCTTTCCTCTAAGTTTGGGTTAGTCTTTCAATTTGCATTTAACGCACTGTCCCATAAAGCTCAGGGGGAACGTAAAAAATGTACTAGGAACATATTCCTGCACCGTAACATTTGAACATCATGGCAATGCATAAAAGGGCATCTTCTCTATGCCCTAGATTCTAGGGGGGAATCAATATTTTAATTTTAGTACACAGATTTTCAGTCATTTTTATCGAAGTCTCTCAGGTATTTTTCTGTACGTCATATAATGCTAAATGTCATTTCAGTTCCTATTAGCACTGTTTTATGGAAAATGCTTACATCTCTGGAATGAAAGATATGATATAAATGTGTGGAATTATTATTTGCGGTTCGTTTCTGAGAGTATTAGTGTGGGGGGGGGGGGGGTGGGGAATGAGCCTTTCCTGAAAAGCAGAGATAATTAATATAGGAATCCTCAGTCTATTTTAAAATCTCTAAGACCCTGAAGAAATGCTTACAGAAATCAATGTAAAGATTAGAATTGACCTGAATGGATCTGGATCAGGCTTTCAGAACAACAAAAAAAAAATACTTAAAATTAAATGTATATCCACTGTCATTTGACATACCTTTAATTCATATTTAATTAAATTAAATTCATAGGCTAAATTCTGCCTATGATGTAACCTCACTGGGGTCAAGGTGGTACATAGGTATAATCTGGGTAGAATCTACTGTTAAATCATAAACATATCACTATGGCTTTCTTTCTTTCTTTTTTTGCTTTCTTTCTTTCTTTTTTGCTAAACAGATTTAGCTTTGTTGTTTAAAGCTGAGTATTCTTGGCAAGCCTTACTACAAACTCAACACAAATGAAATCCAGGTAGCCATTATATGTTACCTGCAGGATGGGGACAGGTTCTCACTTCCTGTTCTGGGTAATTGGTTGCTTTCTTAAAAGAAAACCTCTACAGTCTTTATTTTCTGAACAGCAAGTTGAATCACAGTTTCCCCACCGTCAAGGGAATACATTTTCCAAGTATTTCGAGATATAATTTCATGTTCTGGCTTGTGACTCACAATGAGCGGCATTCCCCCTCATTCTGGCCTCCCCTTAATTTAGGAAATGCACACCTTTCCTCTGTTTGGTTCTTTGCTTTGAAAATAAACAGTAATAAAATCTTATCAGAAGGCTAATTCGCTAGCTAGCTATCTCATTCTCCTTCTACAAAGAAAAGAACTAATGCATTCAAACGTACGCCCAATTTACATGACTTCTTGTGATAATTTGTATGAAACTTGAGGATTCATAATTCATTCACTGCCTCATACCTCAATATAACTAATCTCTATGGACTCGGGGCTGAGATCTTTTATGCTAAGCTTGAACACTGTGGAGGGGTTATCCTAAAAAAAAATATATAAAAAAAATGTAACATTCTGTAAAGGCTCCCTTTAGGGGATCGTGCTTTAGTGTCCCAGTTCTCAAGCTGAACTCTTCTTGGGCAAATCCTTTGAAAAAGTACAGACTATTTCCCATCCAGTTCTTTTATGAGAGACTCATTATAGCTGAGTCACTTTATTAATTCAAACCAGTAAAAGGCATCAACAATTAACTAGTAAAATTGCTGCCCCTGCCAGAAAAGTTCTGACATCACTCTTTCAAGCGTCTCCAGACCAGATCACCTGAGACTGCGATATCATCTACTCCAAATGAATCAGCAATAGGATGGGCCAGGATTTGAAGGAGACAGCTCTTAGTCTACTTCTGCCATACCTGGCAATGGATAGCATGAGGCTCATTATCCCTGCTGTCCAAAATGGTGGTAGGTGGCACCACATATTTGAAAGCATTATTTCCTGCATGAAACGCTGGCAATCAAAAGGTGCGAAAATTCATATATGCATACACATAGGTACATATACTTGTGCTCGGTAGATATAAAGTATATCTATCAAGAGCTTTTACAACATTATATATTTTATTGTTTTAAATAGATATGGTAGGTAGATAAGTGCACATAATAATTAGGCAGAGATTGAGACAGAAACACCACCTGCACTGTGGTACCCAAGTCATGGTAAAACCCATGTGATAAATGGCAGAGCCAGAGCCAGAGCCAGGCAATAAACTGCAATTAAATTGATCTCTTGCTCATTAATCCACCTTTCCCTTAATCTTACAAACTTTAGGGCATTCTCAAACAGCTGGCAGCTACTGATGGGAGCTGCTTTTCTGTTTTCTCTTCCACCCACACAGAGCAGCAACCTCCATTGCAAAACCTTCATTTCTGGCTTACTGATATAGGGCATTTATACACATACTTTTTTTCCCTGCAATGCGCTAGAGATATGCCACTTTGGAGCAGATGCGATTAATTGATGTGAGCTGAGGTGACCTGTGCTGCGCCGTGTGCAGGTGTATAAGTGGCAAAATGCGTGTCAGCGCACAGAAAACGGTGGCGGTGCACTTTTGCACTACAGCACCTCCTGTGTGTTTTAGTTCAAAAGCGTGCCACTGATGTGCATTTCGCCACTTATCCACCTGCAAGCTCCACAGTGCTGGGAGCTTTTCAAAGTGCCCCGCGCTGTGGTGCCTATGTGTGTAAAAAAGCCCATCATGACTAGAGGATGGTAGATTTGCAAAAAAGTTTCTAGAACAGGGGACCAAAGAGAAGGAAACAGATTCCTTCCATTTTCCATGATCTCTTCTCCTTACCTCCATCTCCCTCCTCTCTCTACCTTCTTCCTTCTTCCCTGGTTCTCCTGGAAATGAATAGGCTAGCTTTTCAGCTTATGATAAGAAGCATCCCTTCATTAACTAGATTGATTTGGTGATTTATATCAGCAGAGGATATGACACCGTTGCTTACAATAGAGCCATTCTACCCATCCTTGATAGATACTTTCTCTTTCTCCTCCTTCTGCCCCTTCTTAGGGATTGCTATAGGAACAAAGTTCAGGTTAGAAAGCATGCCATGTTCTAAAGCCAGCAACACCAAAGCGAATATGGAGTAGCTTCAGATTCAGCTGCTCCAGATTTACATGATGTCACAGAGACTGGTCTGACCTGATGAAAAAGGAAAGAAATCCTTACACTAAAGTTTTTGCTTCCTGCATACATCACTGGCATATGGGCTAAATCGCTGAAGGCAACTTCAGCAAGTTCAGCTGTTGACCAGTAAGTCCAAATAGAGTGACCAACAGAGCAAACTGGGGGCCTGTGCTACCTTGCTGGAAGGAAACACAAGGCCTGACTCTTAGGCCCCCTCCACATGTCCAAGTAAAGATGCCCTGGGATCTACTGGGTGATCCGTACAATCGCACCTTTGCTGATGGGGCTCCCAATGCAGGGACCACAAGCAGCTGGGACAGCTGGGACTGAGTCCTAGCAGCCATGGGGGGTGCTGCCATGATCTCCCAGGCCCAGGCTGCATTGAGCTCCCCACCAGATCGCAGCAGCTGCAGACTGCCTACACATGCAAATTAAAGCTGGAGAGAAACTAGCTCTAAAGTTATTACACATTTTCGAGTAATACCTTTATAGCTGGTTGGGCCTTTTTAAGGCACCATAGTCAGTTTGCAGTGTAGCTGGTTTAAATGTTCTGTGCAAGTAACAAGGTAATTGCATAAGAGATATAACGTGTAGACGTGCTTATACCTGGTAACAGAAAAAGACCTTAAAGTGGGCAGACACTGCATTTATCATTGTTTTAAGGCCAGGCCCAGAATTTACTTTCTATACTTCCTCAAGAAGACAAATGACAATTCATCCAGTGAGAACCAGTTCTAACTCCTAATCTGTCAACAGGAAACTTTCCCCTGACTGTAATGCAACTGAGATTAGGCTCTTAGCAACATGTAATCCCATGAAGGAAATATCAGGCTACAACTTTGCCCTTAATTTCTCCTGATATAAACATGAAGACAAAATGGGTAGAAACAGAGATGGAATTATAAAAACACATATTCAGGCTTTAATCCTCTTATTTTTTTGTGAATTTAAGACAGATGAAACTGTTACTTTCATGCTCAGTTTTTCAGCTGAATTTGTACCCACAATTATCCTTTTGGTAATATCATAAGGCACATTTTATTCACTTCTAAAGAGGGTGTATTCAAGAGTTCAATGTGAATGTGATTGTGAATATTTTAGTAAGTAATTCCCTTTAAGAACAATTATAGGAAATGCAGCTATTTAAAGGCAGGTATTGTGTGCTCAGTTTGTCTGCACAAATAAACACAAATATCAAAATGATGGAATAAATTAGAAGCGTTAACCTCTGTGTTATCATTCGAATGACATAATAGATATTATTAGCGGTTTTAAAGCATATACATTTTAATATTCCCTTAGACCAAAGTTTTTCATTATTTTGTTTGTTAGTTTAACTTTGGGTAAATTCTTCACCAAACACACAGCTTCCAGGTCAATAAAGGGAAGGAAGGTTTAAAACGAAAATGATTGAACTTAATGATAATGAGAATCTATTTGGAGATTTGTGGCTCAACAATACTCTTTATCATTGAGAAAACAGACTGGCATTTATTTTACATCCCTGTCTATGAGGGTTACCCATGTAAGAGATTCTGGGCACAGACACATGACGTGATTACTGAAGAATAATTTACATAAGTTTTTACTTTGCAAGGAGCAGACGCACAACTCAGTCTCCCCAGCTAGCTGGCTGCCTGCAATTGGTGCCATTGCAGCACCCAGACACTGCATGCTTTGCACCAAGCGAATTGTTATCCCAGTTTGCAATCAACTAAGACACTGGACACACCACATATTCTATATAGTAACTTGTCCACATACTGAAGTTAATGCATATTTTTCAAATGCAGACTTTACTTTGAATTTGAGCGATTTACTACAAAGGCTCTGTATCATGTGTCCACTCCATTTTTACTCCACATTAAGAACAATTTATTATGTAGCAAATGTATCATGCGTCCCTACATTCAGGATATCCTGAATGTACTGCCTCCCCAAATTCCACGAACAAAACAGCATCATCATAAGCCTGTATTCTCTTATTTGTGCATCCTTATTAAATGCCAAAAGTGCCCTCTATACATTTTGAAATGAGCTTGAAGTTATTTCTGTTTTGTTCCATGAACTCCAATAGGAGGTCTTAAGACCAATCTATAATATGGATTTAACTACTTGAGTGGAGAATATTGAGAGGCAAAAATACTTCCACGGTGAGTAATCAGGAAGCCAAACCTCCAAGTTAGGTTAAACGTGGTATTATCTTTAACAGGACTGAAAATACCTTTTGTTTGCTTTATCATATCAAGTGCAGCCAAGAGTTTCAGATGACTTCTTCCACTAAGTGGTATAATGTATAAAACACTGCTCTATGCAGATAACTGAAGAAAATTAAAGTGCCTAACCATGTCTCTGCACATTGTAACATTATTCGTCTTTGCCTCTTTCCCTATATATGTATATGTTCCTGGCCAATTCATGGATGAAATTTTACGTACATTGGCCATGATTCTGCAACCATGTATGTGCATGCTTAATTTTAAGCATTTGTATAGTCCCCCAGTCAGCCTCTGCATAAGTGTTTGCTGGATTGGGGACCTTGTTAGCTATCTCTGGGCATGTCTACACGTGATATTAGTGTGACACAAGAAACTCCGGCATAGTTCACACAGGGAGTTTATTGCTTCCTGGGTGCAGTGTTTATAGGTCAAGCTTGGGGCTGCTCTGACCCAGTTCAGCGTGCTGCAGAGGGGCTGGCTGGCAGGCAGCCCCCGCACCGTAGCACCCTCATGTCCCAGCCAACCCTGCTAGCATCTACACATGTATTATGGCGCACTAAATAACACCACCATAGGATAGTACTTGTGTTGACCTGTTTTATTCGATGGTGGCATTTATTAGTTTACTGTGGCCTAATAGGGCCGTACATGTAGCCACTGGGAGCGTCTATACGAGACACTACATCACCGTAGCAATGCGCTATGGTGATGTAGTGTCAGTGGGCACAAACCATGATGCTGCAGCTATGTCACCGTAGCAATGCACTCCCTCGCTGTAGTGTGTTGCTATGGCTAAAAATGACCGTGCTCCACCGGGATGGTGCAGTACAGGCTGTTACTGCGCTGTCATTTAGTACTTACTTTTGTTTCTAAAAGGAAGTACTAAATGATGGCGCAGTAACAACAATGCCATTGGGACAGTGTAGACGCACCTGCTGAGACTTAACTGTGGATCTAATTAGTCAGCTCCATAGTAAATGACTTGTGTAGAAGCATCCTCTGAGAGATAACCGCGAGAATGGAAAAGGATACCGTAGTACCCAGAAATGACTCAAGGTCATTTGTCACATTTTAAAGAGGCTCATTCAAATGAGCTACTCTATACTTCCCACACTTGAAATATCAACTGACTTGGTAAAATTTGGGATATTTATTTCAGACTTTAATCAGTGCCCCAACTCTGGATGAGCTACTAGACACAATTCCACTGGAATTAACCACTAGTTATAAAGTCCAAAAGAAAGATCAACTAGTTTGCAAGGTAACAGCATATAGAGCTAGTGCATCATATATTCATTTTTTATTTCTACAAGGTTTCATCTGCTTTCCATAGCAGAGATCACTGAAGCCTGCTGTTCATAGCTGCCACTATCCTTATAAAAGAGGTGGCAGATAAGGAAAAACTTTACTGTCTGAGTCTCCAATGTCTATGAAACCTATGAATTTAGTCCTATATTATGTATGTATGTATGTATGTATGTAAATGGACACACATTTAAATAAAATCAGGAACACATTTTAAAATATTATAATTAAATATAATAGCACATTGATTAAGTTTTAACCAGAAAACTGCTTAATGAAAGCTTCTACCATATAGCCCTTATATGATTGTGTGAGTCTCCTAGCCTATAATTATTAATAGCCATTTGTTGGTCTTTTCTCCTCCCTTTCTGATGGTTTTCAAAGATCCCTCATCCTCCCTACAGGGGCTAACAATGGGAAATGGAAAGATGAAGTGGTGGCCTTTCAATGGATGTCACTGATTGGGAGGAGAAAGAGGAAAGTAAATTTACATTCTGATGAATTCTTCAGGCAATGCCTCACTGAAAACCAAAGCAGCAGAAATCATAAAGGGGGACATCCCTCGGTGATGAAAATCTCAGGCAGCAAAGCTCCTTAGAGAGAATAAGTCCTGTCATAAGGCTCTTTGATACCCTTGTTATGCTCCCCAAAGGATTCAGATATTCTCCCTGAAGATTTTTTTGGACAGTTATGATTGCAAAGGAGAGCTTATAGACTCATTATTTATGGAAGAGATTTTGGTTTGAACAACCCAGGTATATTTTTTTCTTAAAATATAAAGGAGACGAAATGTCAGTTTTGCAGTTAGGGAAACTGAAGTACAGATCTATTTGGAGAATTATAAATTGCCTAAATATTTATCGAGAGGATGTGCTAGGTGTTCAGGGAAAGAAGGAAGGATCCACAGTCTTAGATTCAATTCCTGAGTTTGCCACTAACCTACTAGGAGCCGGTGGTCATGTTACTTGACTGTGCTTCAAATGATTTGTTTGGACAATAGTTATATCTGCAGAACATATAAAGTCCTATATATCTGTAGATGAAGGCAGCCCTAATACTTCCCTTCTTCTGGGGGTGAAACAAGGCTTAATTAATATTGGAAGATTGCATCCAGATGATGCATTTAAGTGTAAAGTCTCATAGAGCAATTTACCTTGTAGGGTTCCCCAAAGAGATTAAAACCTGAAGCAAAGAGATCTTCATCTTGCTGGACTTCTTGATTTCGTCGCTCCCATTCCTTCCTTTTAAGTGCACTCCGGTCTTGCTCATAGTGACTGGAAAAGAGGGTGAGACAAACACAGAATAAATAATTTATCCCATAAATCATGTAACTATTCATTGGGCATGCCTACACAAGATGCTGCGGTGCTGTAGTGCCTATTGGCAAAAACCGTGATGCCACCGCTACTTTGCCATCATGATGTACTCCCTCATTGTAGTGCACTGGTACAGTGATGCAGCAGCCAAAAATAACCATGCACAGCCACCGCAGCGCAGTATGGGCTGTTACTGCGCCATCTTTCAGTACTTCCAAAAGGAAGTAATTAATATTTACTTCCAAAAGGAAGTACTAAAAGACAGCTCACTAAAAACGGACCATATGGCCACGTGTGATTAAAATTTAGAAACCAGATAGCTCTAGTGGCTAACTCTGGAAGAAATGCATCCATCCGTTTTTGCAAATGTAAATTTGGGGTAAAAATATCGCACTAACGGGTTCTGAGAACAAGTCATTGGGAAATGACACCCACACACACAACTTCCGTTTTCAGATTTGTGGTACTCTTTGCAGCAAAAATGTCAATACAGCATGCATGTGTGTCTGCGCATAAGTGAGGAGTCCCATAACCAATTCATGCTGTTTATATGAATACGCACGTGCATACTCACGGGCACGCAGGCAGAGGCCGAACGCATCTAGATGCAGAAAGCATACTTGGAGGTAACTGGGCATGGTGGCATCTTCACTATGTTTCATGTGTACCACTTGCATGCGTCTCAACACTCACAATTCAGTGGTGAGGGTTACAGTAGCTAATTCAACCCCTCGCGCTTGTTAAAAAAGTTGTGTCAAGTTTGGTTGTGGGCAGAAGGAGTACTTAAAAAAAAAAAAAAGTGTGCACTGTTACGCTGTCCCAGAAAGGCTTTCGATTAGTTTGCTTCAGCAACAGGTCATTCGACACACCACAAAACACACAAAGAAGGTCTATCGCCTCCAAGCAGCGATCGCAAGATGTCAGTTATCTGTATGTCACTTCACTTTCTGCACCTGCCAGACCTGGGTGACAAGCTGAGAGATCACATTTACTTCGCTCATGAAGTACTTTGGTCTCTTGGCTTTGCAAACTACCTCCTGCTCCTCTGAGAGAAAAGCTATAATTAAAACCCTGAAGGAAGAAAAGGAGGGGGGGGGGGGGAGAAGAAGGAGGGAGGGAAAAAAAGAATGCATGCTTGAACTTGCACTGACAGCCCCTCATGTGACAAGCATTAAGGACACTTCTGTGCTTTCGACCCATATTTGATTTGTTATTAGGCTTTTGGCTCTATTTTGTGTCAGTTAATTAGCTACCAAATTCCAGATGACAATTTGAATAGCAGATTGAGTATGCACGTTGATGGTATCTGTTGTAAGCAATGTGTGAGTGCTACATTTTCTAGATCTATGTACGTGCATTGCACACCCACCCACGTGCATGTAAATTCATGCACACACACACACATATATCCCCACATAGGTAGCAAAGAACAGTTAATTCTCGTATCTCTAGTGAGAATGAATTTAATCTCCATAGAGCTCTACTGCACTTGGAAGATAACCAAATATCTACAACTTTTGCCTTTTTAGCTCAGCATGATGTTGTATTGAAAGCTTCACACGGAGAGATATAATGAGGAATGAACTGCACAGTGATGAGGCTTTAACAGTGTATAAAGTCACTGATTTCTGAGTGAAACCACAATTACTAATTTGAAGCACCAGCTAATTAAAACCACAGCTATGTATTTAGCCTCTTGTTATACCTACTGCAGTTTATAATTATGAGGACCTCTTTATCTACTCAATTAAAGTTCTTATGATTCAGGCAGGTTGTGTTTGAACCTGCAAACCCTGCAGACACCGCAGGAAAGCATATGTCTGTCTCCTGATGATTTCATGTATTCTTAGCCTCACATACTTGTTTTCATACAGGGAGGGAAAAAAAAGAAGACTAATGCCACAAAGCAATTCTTAAAATCAGAAATATGAATTAATAATGGCTTTGAGCATTTCAAGATCATTCACACTCGGACTGAATAAAGGCTCGAGAATGGTTTATAAACAGAATGTAAAGCCACCTGAGTCGCTGGGGCTCAGCTCAGCTAGATTTCCACTGGCATTTTCAGGTTGGAAACTCAAAAGCAAAAGCATTTTATTTCCTTCCTTTTACAACACTGCCTAACATAATGAGATCACTGTCTTGGAAGCATTTGCCAACATAAAGCAATAGTATGTGACTACAGTCATCTTGACAACTGCATTTTTTTTCAGAAAGTCTATTATTTCATGTATTGGGAGGGGACAGGCAGGAAATTACGGTAAATTAAAGCCACCTGCCAAACTGTTATTACAGATGACAGGCTGCACTGTTACTCGGACAACGTGTCCACGCAGGTGCATAAGGAGGATGCCCTGAAAGAGTATCTAGACTTGGGTCCATGCGTGCTATATACCTGCAACTCCCCAGTACAATTCCTACGAGCGAGGACAGGACCTCGCTTCCATCTCTTCCCACAACCCTCTTGGACGATGCAGCTGAGTCAGTGGCAGAGGGCATCATAATTTGCAACTGGTAGTACGCTTCTCCCTCCCACATCACCCCCCGCTGGTATGGACCACCCCTCACCCACTCCTAAAGCAAGGAAGGAATAATACCTGGGGTTTTGCACTTTAAGCTGCCCCTCAGGGTCAGGCCTAAAGGCATGATCCTGGACCCACAGCATTAGGACCACAACTTTCTACCACCCACGCTCCTCGAAGGGGTATAAAATGTATTTTGGCTGGCTTCAACAGTCCTAAAATTGCATGACTGCTTCAACAGCATTAATTTCTAAGAGCCATGCCTTCCAATCCTTAAAGACACGCTGGGTTCAAAGTCAATAGCAATGGCCTCAATGGCAGCAGGGTGCAACTCCATGTGAGTAATCGGTCCATAAAGAAGCAGTGCCATCCCACTCACTGGAATGATTCGCTCAAGTAAGGATTAGTTGTTCAAGTAAGAGCACAGGTTCTTTACCAGCTGAGTGTGATGATAACCCCTGGGCATAGTCTTGTTAGAGCTTCAGGGTGCAATTCCACCCCCATTCAAGTCAACCAGAGTTTTAAAATTGACTTCAACAGTGCCAAAAATTCTCCCTTAATGTGTGAATACATTATTAATTCAGGCTTAGATAGCTAAATGCCGTCTGGCTCTTTGCTCAAGCATGCAAATGGTTCAGAACCGGTGGGTGGTGAATTGGCTAGAGGGGCGCACCCAGAGAGTCGTGGTGGATGAGTCAGTTTCGACCTGGAAGGGGGTGGGCAGTGGGGTCCCGCAGGGCTCGGTCCTTGGACCGATACTCTTTAATGTCTTCATCAGCGACATGGATGAGGGAGTGAAATGTACTCTGTCCAAGTTTGCGAATGACACAAAGCTATGGGGAGAAGTGGACACGCCGGAGGGCAGGGAACAGCTGCAAGCAGACCTGGACAGGTTGGACAAGTGGGCAGAAAACAACAGAATGCAGTTCAACAAGGAGAAATGCAAAGTGTTGCACCTAGGGAGGAAAAATGTCCAGCACACCTACTGCCTAGGGAATGACCTGCTGGGTGGCACGGAAGTGGAAAGGGATCTTGGACTCCAAGATGAACGTGAGTCTGCAGTGTGATGAAGCCATCAGAAAAGCCAATGGCACTTTATCGTGCATCAGCAGATGCATGACGAATAGGGCCAAGGAGGTGATACTTCCCCTCTATCGGGCGCTGGTCAGACCGCAGTTGGAGTACTGCGTGCAATTCTGAGCGCCGCAATAAGACTAGAGAACCTGTACCTTTTCAACCTCCGCAAGAGAAGGTTGAGAGGCGACCTTGTGGCTGCCTATAAGTTCATCACGGGGGCACAGAAGGGAATTGGTGAGGTTTTATTCACCAAGGCGCCCCCGGGGGTTACAAGAAATAATGGCCACAAGCTAGCAGAGAGCAGATTTAGATTGGACATTAGGAAGAACTTCTTCACAGTTAGAGTGGCCAAGGTCTGGAACGGGCTCCCAAGGGAGGTGGTGCTCTCCCCTACCCTGGGGGTCTTCAAGAGGAGGTTGGATATGCATCTGGCTGGGGTCGTCTAGACCCAGAACTCTTTCCTGCCTATGCAGGGGGTCGGACTCGATGATCTATTGAGGTCCCTTCTGACCCTAACATCTATGAATCTATGTCATTTGGAAATATCTGTATTTCTTCCACACTCTACCATTCTAGGTATTATGTTAAAAAAATGTTAATTTTGAATTTTCCTCTCCCACTATGACATAAAAGCTTTAAGAAACCCCTGCATCTAAAATATCTCCACAGTAGGAAATGATTGCTTATCCATCTAGGTTAATGACTTCTTCCTCTATAAATGTGTTCTTCTGGCCAGAATGCGCAGCACCAAACTCGCCGGGCCTTGCACATAAACTATAGAAAACCACATACTTTACAATGCATACAGATTAAAACAGGAAATGATATCACACTTTCCCTGAGCCAAAGAGTGGCACTTTGATTTGAGCTTAAGATCATGGTGCAACAGAAAATGAGGAGGGTATTATTTGTAAACTCTCTATGCAATCAGATGAGAGCCATTTTCTTTGCTTGCAAGGTTTTAGCCTATACTTTCTTCTAGATACCACTACCAATGTCAGAACTCCCTTAATCTATTTGCATTAATCTTGATAAGATTTAGCAATCCTTATAGTCCTGAGGTTTCAAAACTCAGCTCAGTGGCAGACTCTTTTCAAAAGGGGATTAGAGGAAAAGTAATGGTCACCACTTGGTGTTGGAGGGGCATTAGATGTTGCTACTCCTATTATTATTACTAGTGGTACTATTATAACAATTATATCACTTTTATTATTAATTTTATGACTCTACGTATTTGCTTGCTTATTCCAATTAATTTATTATGCTAGTAAGCAAACAAGGTTCCAATGCAATACAACTGCAAGTAATAAAAATCCTATAAACACACAGTATATGGTACCTCCTATCATGTAAGCCACTTAATATTGGTGACTTTGACAGAAATGTTATTATTTATTGTTTCCTATCTGACATTAAGTCAAGCCACATGCATATATCAAACAAAATTTGGCTCTTAAGCTTCAAAAATCTGACTACCATGCATCCATCTCTCATTCTTCTAGGTTACTCCAGCTGTATT